AAAAAAAAAAAAAAAAAAAAAAAAAAAAAAAAAAAAACTTTTATTCATGCATTCTACAAATATTTATTGAGTGCCCATTAAGTGCCATCAAGGCTGCCAAGACCAACCCCGGTCAAGTCATCCTTGGAAAGGAGAGGTGGATGGGATCAGAGCACTGAGGAGATCCCCAGACCAGTCTGTGCCTGGCTTCAAGCTGTGCTGATCTTCATAACACAGGGCCTTCAGGCCAGGGTCTTTAACACTAGAGACAGAAAATCTTGAAGACAAGGTCATCACCAACCCCCCTCTAGCCAAGGCAGCTGGCTCCTGCTCAACCACCTTTGAACAACCTCCAAGGACCATCTTGTATGGACTCTTGTGGGTATGGACTGTGTGGTCGAAGACCGCAACTGACCTGGGCCCAGCATGACAGAAGGACCCTGTCAAGAGCTCAGTAGCTCTCCCTCTTCAGTCTAGACACCATAATGCTGTTGGTGCTTTTGAATGCAGAGAGTGACAGCAATGTTGGACCAACCGGAAAAACTTTCATTAGTCGCCTCAGATCTGTAACCATGGATGCTGAGATGACCTTTACACAGTGAGGCAGACTTTCCTCACGGATGGACTGCCTCGGGCAGCTATGTTGCCAAGAGTGGGCACAGAGGCGTCTGCCTCCAGCTCTTCACTGGAGTTAAGAGAAGCACAAATCTCAGAGCACTCAGGCTCAAGCGCTGCCTTGTCTGTACCTGGAAACACTCCCAATCTTCACGAAGTAGCAAACGTGAGAAAGCAAAAAACTGATGGGAGCTTAGATGGATTTTAGGCCAAAGGAGGGATCGTTGTCTATCAGATAGGTCACTGAGAATGTACCTTGGTCAAACACCGCTAAAGAAGGTCTGTCAGGGAAAGATGCTATTAGACTCAAGAAGTATTTGGTTCCATTGATCCAGGACCTTCCAGCTGTTAGGATGCACATTCCTGGAGGCAAGCCTTCTTTCAAACTCAGATTCGTTGAGAACGCCATGTTTATTAGGACTGCATCTGCCCCCCCCCCCCAAAAAAAAGAAAAAAAACTCAGTGCATTCTGCTCGTGCCCTGACCCCAGCTGCCTGGCCTGGAGGGTCAGAGAATACGCTTCCCAGGGAATGCCATTGGAAAAAAGACAGGTCTCAGTGACAGCCAGGTTGTGATGAAGCGGCACCCCACAGTGGAACAGAAAGCTGAAGCCAGGAGGGAAGGAGGGACATCCAAAACTGGGACTAAAGTGTGCTAGTCAGCCAGGGCCTGGATAAGTCCTCAGAGTGGCCAAGTGGGCGGTGTGTATGCATGTTTTATGAAATCCCTGCTCTTGGCCTTGTCTACATACCTAGCTGTGGGAAATAAAAACAAAAAATGCCTGTTGCTGTTGTCCCGAGCTCCCAGGTCCTGGGGCTTCTCACACATGGACAGGGACACTAATATTTCTTCCCTCCTGCTTCCTTCTGTCACCTCAGTGAAGCCCTTACATAACCTTTGCAGATATGGGCTCTCAGCTGACCAGACCACAAAAACCTTCCTACAAGTCATTGGTGGGAGAAAGCTTCTGGGTTCAGCAAAGGCGGGTGCCCAGGAGGACACAGCCTGCCCTGAGGCTTCTGCTCCCGCTTTCCCCGATCTGCCCTTGATTTTTGAGGCATGAGAATCAGAGGCTCACCTGAAGGTCTGGGCCAGGCCGTGCTGGCCCACTGTGTACTTTGACGCACTGGTCATTTTTGCTCTTGGAGTCTAGGCATCTCTCAGTAGGGCCCAAGAAATGCTGATCCCTTTTTACCAAGAGGTATTGCCAAAAATGCTCAGAAAACACCACCACCAATTATGGACCTTGGCCTCTGGCCCCTTCCTCTGTGTAACTTAAGTTTCTTCAGAGGCTGCTTTGTCTGTTGGATGCCCCGTCTGGCTACCCAAAAGCTTCTATGGGCAGAGCTGACATGCTGAGGCAGGCAGGGAATACCAGCTCTGGAGCCCCACATGACAGACAACCTTGGCTTCCAGCCTAGGCCGACCACTGTGCCACCTTAAAGACTCTGTTGTAAGGTGACTGAGGGATGCCACACCGCCACCCCACCCTGGCTCAGACAAGTCATTTGCTGGCTCCACATCTCCTCACAGCACCCAGAAGCCACATTTAGAGCCCTCCAGCCTGAACCTTTCTACTGAGTCCTGTAGGAAGTCCCAAGGCCCCAAGCCCTCTCCCCTGAGCATCCCTACCACCTCGTTTGCAGCCCCAAGAGCCTGCACTATGGAGATTTGACAGTTCTCCCCAAAATGGAGCTGACAGGCTTCCACTCTCAGGCCCTGGCAGCCCTTCAGCCCTTTAGCAAGCTTCCTGTGGCTGGCACTGTGTCCCCTGGTATCCATCCACACTGATTACCAACCACTAAGCCGTAAACCCCAACTCATAGAGCCAGGGTCTGGTCCCTGCCGCTAACCTTGGAAAAAAGAGAGGGATCCCCTAGAAGGAAGTTTGAAGTCTCTTGATCTCTGACTAACAAAGATTAGTTTCAGCTGTGAACAAAGCCATCTCAGACCCTGATTTGAAACAAGTGCTAATTGAGACCTTGGCATTTGAAAATGGGAATGCAGAATGCAAAAAGGTTGTTAGGCCATTAAAGGTGAGGGCAGCACCTATGGAATGGGTCAGGGAGGTGACCCATAGTGGCTCTAGCATACATAATGCCACCATAATTGGACAAGCCATAGCTAAAGGTTTTAGATCTCAAAATGCATGGTGTTTTAATGGTGGAAGGTATGGTCATTTGCAAAGAGACTGTGACCAAGCCCCTTACATGTCTCAGACCTTAAAACACCCAGCTAGCTCAGTTGGTAGAGCAAAAGATTTTTAATCTCAGGGTTGTGGGTTCGAGCCCCGTGTTGGGCACCACTAGTAAAATGGCTATTTTAGAACAGTAACCAGTTCTTTTAATTCCTAGCCAGCCCTCTTCCCAGTTTCCAGCCCCTTCAACTGTTCCTCCCTCAGTTCCCCGACAGTCTGCTTAAACAGTACCTTCCTTCTCCCACCTTTCCCAATACCAGCAGCTCCAAACTATAACAACTGTTCTAGCCTATCAGCTCTGCTTGGCTTCTCCTGGCTCAACTGTCTCCTAACGATATCTTCTGCACCAACTGCCTTCTCATCTCACTCTGCAAGGGCCCCACCCCCCTTTTCAGCCTCAGCTGGCTTTTTTATATCCTATCCTGTTCTCAGAAATCCAAGTCAATCAACACTGAAGGTCACAGGATCAAGCAATTCTAACTACTAAGAACTCTTAAAGGGTCAGCTGACTAACAAATGGGGACCCTTTAAAGGGACAGGCACACAAGATAAATCACACTACAGAAGTTCCTGTCTGGAGCGCTGCTCTTTGGAAAGGATTGTTGGCTCTGTGTGCAGAACCCGGCAGCTTTTGCACCTTTCAACTTGGGCGTGAAGTGGGGTGGGGTTCTGTGTGGTTTTGCTCCATTTTCAAAGCCCCCTTGTTCAGAGGCAAAAAGACTGCTTGCTGCAGTGACAGTGAGAGATTCTCGAAGGCCAGCCCTTGGGAGATGAGAACTTTGAGGAATTAAATGTTTGTAGTTAGTTCATGGGAGGGATGATGCGAGCCAGTGCCAGCCTTCTCATATCTGGCCAGAGCCAGGCTCCCACCCAGGCACGTTCGATGCTTTGCCCCGTCCTCCTACCACCCAGCCAGAAAATTTTGTCTCAGCTCAGCTTGTTTTTTCCCAGCTGAGGCACCCAGCTAATGTGCCGGCAGAGTCTGTGGCTGTCTCTTGGCCTGAAGGCCCAGCCCTTGCTGGGGGTGGGTGGAGGAGGATGGTCCTGCCTAGGACCTTCTCTAGTCCTCTTCCAGTGAGCTGATAGGGTATATAGCCGTCCCCTGACGTCACTTCAGGCCAGTCAGTCTGGTGAGATGCAAGGTATCAATCCAGAGAAGGTAGAAGGCCGCTCTCCAGGGGAGCGGGCTGGGGAAGGCCCTCCCGGAGAAGCAAGCCTCGCTCTCTGTCCAGGAATATGCATAAAAGACTCCCTGGTGGGAGACCTATTCCTTCTAAAGTTGAAAGCAAGGACGATCTGCAAAAGAAGCCACCCGCCAAAGGGAAATGCTGGGGCGGGGGGCTTGGAAACCCCTGGAAATGAAGCCGGGAGGCTATGTTTGAAGAGAAGAAAAAGGGGAGGGCATCTGCTAAGAGGTGGTGAGGAGTTTCTGACACCTCCTTTTCAAGGTGTGTGTCCTCTGCAAGGGCCCAGGGATGGAGGGCTCCTTGGCTTCTGGGGACAAGAGTAGGGTAGAGGGGTACAGGCTGTAACAAGGGACAGAATGAGGGAAGCAACATGGCTCTCTCCACGCCTGGGAATGGGGCATAGTGGGTGTGCATGTTCTAAGGAGCTGTCTTCTCTCCCAAGCCTCCGAATATTCACTATACAGCTTATTTACTGGCAACACACAGAGTTCAAGGGTCACTGGGCAGGGATCCTCCATTCATATACTCATTTAAATTTGCTGATTGATTTCCCTGTCACAGGGAACCTCTTTCTTCCGAGCCTGTGCTGTAGGCGTTTCCTGCTCACAGCAAGCTTGCTGCAGTCAGCATTTTAGCACTACCCCACCCTGCCTTGACGCCTTCTGCTGCTGTTACTCCAATGGATCTGGAAAAGTCTAATTGGAATTAGACTTCCTGTCCAAAAAGAAAAGGCCAGCCCTCCGGTGGGCTCAGGGTTTGTTCTCCACCCACAGCGAATTATGCTACTGAAATACTCCTGGACCAAAAAGACTTCCTGACATCCTAAATGAAGAAAAGGTTCAGGCCAATAGATCCCACCTCCACCCCTCCCCAGTGCTTTTCTTGAATTGGGCTGGGGAAAGCCAGCTCGGGAACTACTTGCCAGCACAGCCCCAAGTCTTTAGCACACAGAGCATGTGCTGAGCGCCAGGCAGCTTAGGACATGCTATGTGGAGAGAGCAGTGAGGGACCCACACAGGCAAAGGCCTTACTTTCCACAAGCTCTGCCCTCCAAGGCTCTCTTCTTCCTCACCTCTGCTAAGCCCCTGGACACCTGGTCTCTGGAGTTGCCCATGGCAGAGGAAAGACAAGCTGAGGGTGTTTCCAAGTTCACAGGGAGTCCCACTGCCACCACAGCCAGATTTATAGCCAAGAAGTCACTGCGTCTCTTGGCCTATGTCATAGCACACATGACTCAGTCTGGCCAGAAAAGACCAGGGGTACAAGTTGCCAAACTGCTCCAGAAAGTGGCTTGTCCCATTCGTCCTCCAGCTCTCCAACTTCAGTCCCACCAGAGCCATGGCTAACCCACCTACCACTCTGCCCTGGTGGCTGAGGCTCTGCGGTGCGGGATTAAGATCCTCTCCTTGGGGTCCATCTTTATCTGGGGGAAGGCAGCCAAGGGGGGAGTTTGCTTTTGCCGAGACCATGATATCATTTATTCTTCAGCTTCCTTGAGGCAAATTCCTATTTTTGTGTCTAAAGCTGAGGAAGGCCTGCCACTGGGCTCACTAGCTGGTAACAGGGGCACGTGTGGGGTGAGGTCAGCCTGGCAGAACTGGTGGCATAAACTGGGCAATAAAACCCCACAAACAAAGAGTCCTACATCTCAGGGTGGGCTCAAGGCTCAAGGGTTTTTTACCCAACATACAAGTAAGGAACCATATCAAGCTACTTTTTGTCTCCCTAACCAGTGTGGTTTGGGTCCCCACCTCTGGCAACAGTTCTAGCAGAGTCTGTAAATGGTACCCCAGGTATCAGAGTGTCTCCTGACACTTTTGCCAGCTTTTGATAGTCATTGGCCAAGCTCCCAGTCCTTAACACAGATGTTGACAGTGATCACTGTCCAGAATTCTTAGAGGCCCATTCCTGCTATCTCTTGTCTGATATTCTGTTGAGAGGGCTCTTTTTTTTAGGGTGGACAAAGCCAGGAGCTATTGTTCAAGTTCACCTGGGGCTATTGTGTGTTTGGGCCAGGGGAAGCCTCCCGTCTCCATACTGTCTCTTCAGGGAAGATGAGTCTGCCACAGAGGGTCTGAGCAGTTGTCCTTGTGTATGCAACCTTCACAGCAGCTTCTGTGACCAATCTGCAACCAGAGCCTCAAAACCTCACATCTGAGGGTTCGTGATGACCCTGTGGTTCCTGTGGCATCACACTGTCCAAGGTCCCTGCTGACCTGTGGAGGCTCAAATTCTGCGGTCTAGTTGGAACCAATGTTTCTGCCACAGCCAATGAAACAAGCTCAAATGAAGACTACCACAACCATCCTGGGACAATGGAGTTCATGGTAGGAGGGGACACAAGAACAGTTCCAGAGCACGAAAACCCAGAAGTCTCAACAAAGAGTAAGGACCACCAGTTCCCTCCAAAAGCTAAGATCCCATTGCACTGCTGGACCCCCTGCTCCGCTCACCTCCCCTCAAAAGCAGGTCTCCCTTTTGACTCGGGGCTGAGCAGGCAGGCTTCCATGGTTCCTTTTCTCTAGAAAAGTAACCTTTTAATTTAGGCTGACCAAGCAAGAATAGGACTCCATACAGTAAATTTTGAGGAGCAGGAAGGTACAGTGTCCACCCAGAATTCCTTTGTGGTTCCTGAGGAAATAAACTTCCTTGGGTCTTTTTTTCTCTGGAAAGTGTGCATTCATCTAAAGGGACAGCATAAGGGACCTGCCTGCCCAGGCTGTGTGCCCCAGGGTTTAAGTTCAAATGGCCCCAGCTTCTTGGATGCACTCCACCTCTCCCCCAGCTCTGCAGCCCCTGGAATCCCACTGCTGCTGTGGATCTTACACGAGTGCCTATGGTTTTGGCTTCCTTCAAGACCCAGTATGTAAATCACCGCCAACCATTTTGTCAGTTCAAAGCCAGATTGGGGGAGGGGTAGCAGTGAACTGCCCTGGGGAGCCTGGCCCTCAGCATCAAGAAAGGGTGAATGCTAAGGGGAAAGAAAGGCCTTGGCAACCTTGCCTGCACCCACACATATCACCTGGGCAAACGCTTAAAAATGCAGCTAAGGTCACCCTTGGCCTGAGGCCTGGTAAATCCCTCTCAGAACACCCAAGAAAGGAAGGGGCCTGCCAAGTGGCTGCTCCGAGGCCCTCTCCCATTGGCTCTTTCTTCCCTGGAAGAGGACTTTGGGGAGATTGGTACGGTGTCTTGGTGCCTTCTGGGTTCTTTCTAGGCAGAGAGAATACTGGGAAAAACTGGGACAGCTCTATACCCGAACTTTTGGAACTCAGAGTACCAAAGATTTTCCTCTCATCTGTGGAAGACGTTCTGAGTATCTGAACCGTCAGGTAAAGCTCCAAATCGTCCCCCTACTGCACTGACAAACCAATCACATGGTCAGGAAATACTCCCTAAACAGAGTGGACAACTCTCCCTCTCAGGATCCTCCATTCTTTTATCCCAAGGTAACCCAGTCCTAAAGAGCCCTGGCTGGCATGCTGGCATTCCTTTGTTGTTTGTTGGCTGATCCGAGTCCCTTGATCTTTCCTCATCTCTCTCCATGTCGCCAGCCAGACCTGTTGTGGCCCAGGAGCCACTAACTTCTGCTGTCTAAGAGCAGACCTCAGTCTATTCTGAGCATCCTGTGTTCTCCCGCAGGCACCTTGTCCCAACCCATCATGCCAGCATTTCTTCATTCAGGTGTGGCCCAATAAGCTCACGTCCGGAAGGAACAAGCCTTAGACTTAAAACCACAAGACCTCACCCCAGAGCATCTCACAGTATTAACATCTTTGGGCGGGGGGGGGGGGGAGGGCGAATGCTTGCCCGAGCCTCCCTACACCCCAACATACTCCATCTATCGTGACGTTCCTGCAATGTCTGCCCTGCACTTAGTTTCGAAGTCTTGTGCAGCCTTGTCTTTCTTGGATATTGCTTTGCGACCGGCAAAGAACAAACAAAGGCTCCGGGGAGTAGAAGGCTTGAACAAAAGGCATTTTCAATCTCTCTCTCTGGTACTAAGAGGGCGACGGCGCGTGCCGCTGCGCCAACAGACAACTGTCCTCCATCCCCGCTTTCTCCTGCGCCCCTGAACGAACCCTCCTGGGGACCAGAGCCAATTTCCACCCTCGGGGACGGAAACCCTACGCGGCCTTGTGGAGGGACGCAGGCAGTGGTTGGGGAGAGCACGGGAGACAGAACCGCACGACCCGGAGAAGCGAAAGCGCCCCCAGCCTTCAGCAACCTGGCTTACACCGGCACTAACCGCCAGAAAAAAACCAATTGTGGGTGTGGCCACACTTGTCCCCGCCCCTCACAACCACCAACCGCTGAGCGCCGTGGGCCTGGGGGTGTGGTCAAACCTGCTGCGCCACGCCCCTCGCTGCCTCCGCTCTTGGGGAGTCTGGTTGCCCACACCACGCCTCTTGCTGACGCCAGCTCTGAGAGCAGAGCTGGGGGTCAGGGAGTGTCAATCAACCTTGTTCCGGCTCTAACCACGCCCATAACTGCCTTCAACGGTCCTTGGCGGGAGAGCCTGGGGGGTGGAGTCAACCAAGCCTTTAGCGCCCCGCCCTTTCCCGTCCAGCTCCACCGACCTCTGGATCACTCAGCTCTGAGGTCCCCCAAAGCGGGGCTGTGTGTACAGACCTCCGCTACCCCGGACTCCTGGGCTAGGGGCAAGGACTAATTTAGAGAGTTTCCTGAGACATCCCTGATTTCAAATATCCTGTCCCGTTGTCAGAGCAGAGCAGCACCCCTGAACTTTGAGAGAGCCTGGGTTATACTGCATGGAAGTTATTGAGGGCGCCAGCGGAAGTCTCCGCTAAACCACATATCTTGCCACACCAGAGTGTCCCCGAGGTCAAACACCTCTTTATTTGGGGGTGGGCTATAGCTGTTACCTTCTAATAGCTTGAACTGGAATTGACAATTGCCTCATCTATGGCATTGAGTGGGGAGAGAGATGGGGATAGGGCCGTCCCAGGAGCTGCTGTCATTCCGGTTAGACTGAAAGCCCTGGCCGGAAGTTTTGAGTGCGTTTGGGCCCTGTCTCCATCCACCTTGAGGTTCACAGGCCCTTGCCCTCTCCGCCAGCAGCCTCTGGATACAAGAAATGGATGGGCTGCCTGACTCTTGATGTTCCCCGTCCAGAGAGCCCTCTCCTGCATGGGATCATCTGTCCCCTCCTAGGATGGGGCTGCCTCTCTCGCTTAGTCCAGGAGGGAGAGACCGTGGGAGAGGCTGAGTTGGCCACCCATTTCTTGCCATGCTTCTCCCTCCCTCATCCCCCAAATATCCCTTTCAAACAAGACATTTTAAAGAACACAAGGTAAATGAGCAGGTTTAGAGGCAAAGGGCAGTTGGCTGTGAGATACTTACACTTGTGTTAGAGCCCATCACTGGAGACAGCTTTTGGTCACCTTTGCGTTAGGGGCCAGAGCTTGGGTCCTGGTCACGGTCACGACTAACAGGCTAGGCTTATCCCCCAGTCCTCAAGTAAGTCACAACAAAAAACAGAAAATGGAGATTTACTCAATGTGGCCACACTGGGAGGTTGTGTGACCTTCAAGTCCACCTCTGGGGTCCTGACATGAGGTTTGGGTTTAAATAGAGGGCAAGAAGTATGCATAGCTAAGCAGTCCTTGTCAGGGTGAGGTCCGGACAATCCTGCAGTGCAGCGAGCCTTGCACTTGCTGGTCAGCACAGCCTCCTGCCCGGAAGGGGCAGGGGGAGCCTTGGATCTTGGTTGTCTTGCCTCTGGGTGTTAAACAGCGAGGACTGAACTCCCAACAATTCTTCCACAAGGAAATGAGGAGCTGCAGGAGGCCAGACCCACGGGGGTCGAGAGTCTGTGTCTCCTTACTTGGGGTGTTTCTATTTTGTCAACGTTTTGGTTTCTCTATAGTCAAAACCCTGAAACAGTATGGAAGTAGGAAGCAGACAGACCACATAGGCAGTGGCTGGTTTTAGAGAAGCAAAGTCTTTGCTACTTTGTGGGTTCTTTTTCCAACCCTTTGTTCCCTGCCCCACCCCATTTCACCCCTAACACTAGTTAGGAGAGAAACAAGGATAGAGGAGAGAGAAGGGATGGGGGCAGGTGATTCCTGAATCTAATGTCTTTTTTTTTTTTCTCCTTGACCACAGCTACTAGCAAACCACAACCAACCTCCCTAAATAACCAACAATCACCCCACCCCACCTCTCTTCTGAAAAGTTCCCAGAATTCCAAACGTCACATAATCGCAGAAATTATCTGCAGCTGGCAAAACCACGCTTCTGCCAGAGCACGAGGCAAAGCATAGTCAGCTGCTGTGGACAGACGAAGCAGCCCCACATCCCCACACCCAGAATTAAAACATAAGCACATTTTTATATTGTTTCTGTTTTTGTTTTTTTTTGTTTTTTGTTTTTTTGTTTTTTCTAAAGAAATCAAAATTCCAGAATTCTCAAAAATGTCACGACACAGATTCTTTCCAAAAAGGGGTGAGATCTCGGGGTTCTGCAATACATGGAAACAACCTGGAGAGTAGGTCAAAGAAAGGGGACGAGTAGGCGTGTCTCAGGACTAGAGGGCCTGGGGGCTGCTGGAAAGTCAGGGAAATGGAGAATCTGCTCGAGTGCGCACAGCTTGGTCAGTGAATTTGGGGGCAGAGTGTTCTTCCCAACCAGACTGCACAGGACTGTGGAGCTGCACCTCTGTCCCTCTTCCAGGAGCACTCAGCTTCAGGTATCCTAAAGAGTAGTGCATTTATAGGCCCATTCCTGCGGATCTCAGTTCATTCCTTTCTCAGGTCACATCAGAGGAACATTCCCTGATTATTATTGTAATACTCTAGCTGCTAAGTAAGGGTCTCATGCCCTAGAACCCTCCTTCCAGAACTGTTAGGAAATAGGCTTTTGCTGATTTAGTGAGCTATTGAAATATATTCCAGATTAAACTTGACTCACAAGTTGTGTGTGTGTGTGACAGGAAAGGGAGGAGAGGAGGGATGGAGAGAGAGGAAGAGGGGATAGATAGATTTGGGTATAAGTGGGAAAGCTATGCAAACGATGGGTGAGTTTTCTCCTTTGTTAGATTTTTAAAGGTTATTCTCAGCCAAAATCTGGAATAGCTGAATCAGGGCTGGTGGTGGGAGCCGGGACAGCTGAACTGGAGTTGTGCTAGAAGCTTCAGCTAGAGATGGAAAGAGGCTTTGGGGGTGAGGGGAATCCAGCCGCCTCCTGAGTCGCACCGATTGAAGTTTTATTCCTTGGGATCTGGCTGCCACTGGAGGCAGACCCCCACCCCTTTCCCAGCCCCCACCCAAATGAGTCAAAAACAAGCAAACACATTTGGGGTGTTCTCCCCAACCAGACTGAATGTGCTGAGCTGATTTCATGTTGACTATTCAAATTGTTCTCCTGGAGATGTCCTCGCTCCAAGGACTGCCGCTATGGCATTACCAACAAGGTTAAGAGTAGGGGAGGGAACACCTGTCCGGGGGTGGAGGGGGGGAGAGGGGAGGAAACCTGTACTCAAATCTTGATAAATTGTAAAATATCTCCCCCCTCCCCCCGCTATCTCTCCAGCCCATATCTGCCCCCTCAGTCCAACCTCTGGCACATCTCAGCGGTCTTCTCGAGTCGAGCATGCCAAGGTAGTAATAGCTCACACACACCAGAATACCCCGTGGGGGACCGTCAGAGGCACTAGCCAGTGACTCACGTGGGAGTTATCTCTCTCGATGTGTAAAGTTACTTTTTTTAATATTGAAAAAGAAAAAAACAAAAACAAAAACAAAAAAAACCAACCACCCCGGAAGTAGCATTTAAATCTGCTGGTAAGACTGGGTGTGTGTATTCTAATCTGTTCTCTGTAGTTAGGGATGCTCTCTGAGGTACTGCAAGGCCAGGCACCCCCTTCCCGACGTGCCCTGGGCCCCCTTTCCTTACCTGAGTTGGACGGCAGCCTTGGACACTCTTGAGACGGTTACACGGCACTTGGAGGAGAGAGCCCATCTAGCCCAACCTCCTTGTTCTACAGATGAGCAGACTGAGGCCCAGAGTCCTCTAGTCCTTCAGCCTCAATGTTGGGTCTCTCTGCTTTCACCCAAGACCGACCTGTCCTTCTCGTCCTGTCCGGGGCAGCTCTCAGGATGTTTGGTGTAGACAGCCAGCTCCTGCCTTCTGTTTGGCATGGCGAAGGCACACCTCTCCTTCTCTGGTTGCACTCCACTCCTCAGGCCCGTCCCCGTCGGGCCCCTTCCACTCATCACTGACTTGCTGAGCAGGGCTCTCTCCTTCAGGCCACTTCTGAAGGCAGCTCTGAGAGTGTAGCTGGGGGCTGGCTCGTGTGGAGGGCCTCTTGTGCTGAACAGAGCCTAACAGACAGGAGACAGAGCTCTGCCTTTGCCTCACTCAGGGTGCGGAAACGCCACCACATGTTGTCTCCCAGGCCTGGAGCATCACCCAGACCTTCCCTAAGCTGGCGCCCTCAGGAATGAGAAGGCTGGGCTTGACCGTTGACACGACATTCATTGGTCATGGTGCCCATCACTTGGCAGAAGACAAGCTGAGGTTGTACTCCGTGTGGCTGTAGTGGCACTGCTAGGACTCTTTCCCTTCTCTTTACAAATGAGGAAAGCGACACCTACTCGGCGGGAGGGATTTTCCAGAGGGCCTTTGACCAGTGGCCAAACCGGAACTAGACTAGAAAACAAGGGTCCAGACCCCAAGGCTGGTCCCAACACCCTCGTATCACTAAGGCAGTACCACAGGTGGGTGACAATGAGACCTGGCAGTCTCTGTCCTGACACCCCCTCCCATTTGGGGAGCTGGCTACACCTGAAGCCCTGGGTAGCCCCCAGGAGGAGAGGTCCTGCTACAGAAGTGGGGTGTGAGATCCCGATGGGACCAGATAACCTATCCCCTGGCATCGCTCTGCATTCCTGGCCCAGATGCTTTAGCTAACAACAGGTGGCCGCGGAAGCTGCCCTCCAGCTGCTAGGTTAGTCGCTGAGATCCAAAGTGTCGACAGAGAAAGATAAAGACCAGGAAACCGTTTCTAACACGTTTCTACTCTCTGGCCCAGAGCAGAGAGTAAATCGCCAGGAACGGCCTGAAAGAGGCCATAAAAGGAAAATAAAACAGTATAGTAATTTATGGCATGCAGTAAAAGATCTGGTGTGGCCAGTGAAGCCTCATTTCCCACAGCGCAGAGGGGAGAGGCTGCCTCGCCACACTGGGCGGCTCTCAGCCAGACTGACAGCCGTAGAATTTTGGAGAGTTCTCCTGTCCTCATCTTAAGGTGGGACAGTAAAGAAAACTTGTCTTCCGGCCTCTCTATGTCTGTTCCCTGCAGAAGCACCTGCCCTCCTCCGACCTCAGGACCTTGAGCCCTGGAATTGAGTTCAAGCCCCACTGTCAAACAGCTTACAGCAGAAAAGCTCCTCCCAGCCCTTTATCTCATTTGATCCTTACAGAAACTCTGCAGGGGTGGGGGGTGGGGCTGTCTGGGAGTTGTGAGAGGCCTGGCTCAGGGTCACACAGCTAGTCAGTGGCAAATCCAAGACCTGGGTTTAGGACCACCTATTTCAAGATCAAAGTCTTTCTCAAACTCATTGTTTCTGCTAGGACTAGAAGACTTTGCAATTAGCGCCCACATGTTCAACGTCCTGCCCAGTCAGGAGATCCCAGGAGGCTGAAGATTTCCAGGCCAAAGGGCATCGGCTTTAACTGATCCAAAGGCTCTGACGTGGAGAGATGAAACTCCAGAGGTAGGGCAGTAGAACCGTGATTTCAGAATCTATGCCTGGGTTTGTAGGACCCCCCCCCCCTCCGCACACACACACTTTGCCTGGCTCATCAGTGTAGGCCACAGTCTACACTCCTGAAGAACAGCTCTCCAACAGGCCTCCCTCTGCAAAAAGCCAGAGGGCCTGGCCCTTGCCTCTCCTTTCCTCCCGGCTGCCTGGGGCACATTCAGTGCCTCTTGTCTCCCATCTACAAAGTTCAAAGGTAAAGGCAAGTAGCAAGGTGGCGAGGGTTCCTGTCACGTCTCTCCAGACACGCATAATGTGTCTGAGTGCAGAGGGAGGTGTCTGGGGTGAGTCTCCAGCATCCTCAGTCTTGCAACTTTCTTTGCTTGAGGGATGGATGTCCTTGGGGACTATCCCTTTGCAGCTTGCTACAGGAAGAGGTGAGATTTGACCCAGACCCCATTGCTGCTTCTCCCGGCCAGTGATCGTATGCCCAGAGAGGAGTTGCCTCTCTGAGGCCTAGTTGCAGTTTCTTGCCCACCTCATTGCTTGTCCTGTAAGCACTAACAAGAATAATGGGCAGGACGCTACTTAGTCTGTTTCCACACGCCCTTGGCGTGGAGGGTCCTGTGAGCACTAGTGGCTGAGCAGGATGGTCACCAGCAGGCCTGTCCTGGCTGCCATCAATCTTAGGGTCTACGGCACACTCTAGCTCAAGGGCCTATGCGCAAAGCAAACCTAAAACCTGGAGAAAGCAGCCAAGTCTGCATAGATCAAGGTTGAGATTTGAGGACTACAGCAGTCCCTGAAGGACCACAGAGGTTTCAGTCCTCACAACACCCTTAGTTTTTACTCCTCTTTCCCCAAATAATCCCCCTAGGTGGGAGAGCAGGACGCTCTCTGCTCAAAGCCCCATTCTGCTCCCTTCTCACCTGCCCCACACCCAGCCTGCTCTGTCCCCCATGCATTCTGAGAACAAACACTCACAGATCTGCAATAGGGAGCCCCGTTCTCCCAAGGCTACCGTCGGGCCCACCTCGGAGCTTTGAAGACCTCTGGATGTCAGGCTGGGAGTCTGAGTCTTCTCTTAACCTATCTGTCAGGCGAAGCCCAGCTTGGAGAACATCAGCTGTCAACCCAGAGCACAGATTTTACAAAGCGACTTTGCAGGGTGTAGCTTGTCCCATCCTACCAGACCGGTTTCTAGCAACTCTTTCTTTTCCCTGTCTCTCCTCCTGCAGGGGAGTGGCCTGAAGTCTTTCTCTCCAGTGAGGTCAAGTGCCGATGAACACTTGCTTTCAGGTGGGCTTGGCCTTATGGGCCTCTGGGCCTTTGTAAAAAGCTTCTCAGTAGCCAGAGAATAAGGCCAAGTCTGCCACGGGTAAATGTGACAATGGGTTTTTAAGTAGCTGGCCTGTGTCACGAGTCTTTCTCCCCATGTTGACAAGGCCAGTGGCCACATGGAGCTGCTCCAGACAGAGCTGTGGGCCTCCCCAGGTCTCTCCTATTCATCGAGATCCTTCCGTTTATTCCTGCACTGCCTCTGGTGAGCACAATGACTTTTGCATTGGCTCACTGATCCCTCCCAGCTGTACGCACACCCTGCTGTGATGCTGACTTTCATTGGCATGTTGATCTTTACTGGCTGAGGAACCTTTCTGGGAAGGGTACACTCTGCTTGCTCTTCAAGACCAGCAGGCCAGGAGCAGAGGGAGCCTGGACAGCAGCCTCAGGCCTGGGGCAGGAAGGAGATAGGAGTGCTGATGCTGGGAATGGCTACCTCTGGGGACCAGATGGAGGCAGAGCAGGCTCCCGGACCTAGGGCTCTGGCCTTTCGTGGCTGCTCCTGGGGGTCATGACTCATATGGGTTCCTGGGGTACCCTCTGACTGGGGCACCCTCTGACTGGGGCCCACTGAGTGAACCTGTATGGGTGGCCCTTTTGCCTTGTTCTCTGCAGCTGTGGTTAAGAGGCACGAAGCAGCCTGAAGATGGGCTGGCAGAGGCCATTCATTGCTTTGCCTTGTCTGGTTCCCTTGAAACGATTCTTTTCCTGGCTGCCTCTAGCTCAATACCTGCTTTTATGGCCTGCCCGAGGCACCTGTAATCTCTCCTCCCAGGGGCTTCTGGCGAAGAGCTGAGCCATCTCTCAGAATGCTACATTCAGATGTTCCATTCATTTGTACTTGATACTGTCTGTTAGCCAAGCACAGTCACAAAAATCACCTGGCAAGACATTTGCTAAATTACATGTCAAGAAACTCACGTCTGCTTTTTGACAAAGTATGAAGAAGGCAGGGCCTCGGGCCTAGTTTCAGCTCTCAGTGGGTAGCAGCTCAGCCCGGCCTCCAGACCTTGGTCCCCTCCAATGCTGGACTCCAGACTGCTCTCAGACTCTTATCTTTGGCCCTGACTTTCTAGGGGTTGAGAACACTGGGGACCTATCTGTCATATCTCAAGTGGCCTTCACAAAGAACCGTCTGGTCAAAATGACCCGGGGAGGCCCCAGCTCACCCCAGCAGGCCTCTTCATTGAACACTGAGGAGTAATTGTTGAGGTCAGCACACGAAGGATGCACACAGATGCGCAGACGGCAGAGGCAGGCTGACGAAAGCACAGCCCAGAAAGCAATGGGGAATGAAGGATACGGCTGGGTGAGTGGGTCGTGAAGACATTTGTGCTCACGGGGGCCAGAGCCCAGTTGCTGCTGCCTGCACACCCCTTACTGACAGCTAGGTCCATCCACACAGGTTTCTGACTACTTTTGGCTGCCTGGAGCCTCCACCCAAAGAACCAGCTGAGCTCTGTTGCGCCTGGCAGCTGAGAGAGGGGCACCTATCTGCACACTATGTCTTCACCCTTTCTCCACGTGAGATGCCCTCAGGGGGCCGGGTTCAGCCTCCTCGGAGATGCCCCCGCCTCTCAGCCTCTTGCCTCACACGAACACCTGCTGAACGGGAGGTCTCAGTGAAAGCCCACTGTGCCATGAGTCTGGCCAGCCGGGATGGAAGGCAGCCTTATCCCATTGACTCGCCCCTTCACCCCTTACCCTCCCTTCTGCCCTAGCATCCTTGTCTGGAAGCCTGCTCCCCAGCCCTCCCTTCCCAGTCCTGACTCCAGAACCCATCTAGGCCCTCTGCTCCAACCCTTTCTAAGCCCATCCTATACTAGCGACGCCACTCTTAGTTGGATGGTATGCTCTAGAGACTCCAGAGGCTTGGGGTGCCCATAGCTGAGCTGCACAAAGGTGGCAGGATGGGAAGTCATGGGTTTTGAGTCCTGGCTCCTGGTGAGGTGCTCCGGGTTTGACTCTAACCACAGAGGCAAACTGGAGACTGGGTACAGTTGGGGTACTACAGTGGTCACTTTGGGATCTCTTGAAGGAGACAGTCTGTTGGAGTGGCTGGTTTTGTCTGGGAGGCCAAGCAAGTCTTGGTGAGAGGCTGTGGCATAGACTCAGGGGCCCCCCACAGGGCGGGGGAGGAGCACGGAGCAAGCAGACTTCAATGCTGAGGCAGCTGCACTGCTCTCCCAGCCCATCCTTCCTTCCTGGGGTGCCCTGATATTTTCATGGCCACAGGAATCTTGCAGCTCAGCCAGGAGGGGCTAGAGGCTGGGGTTTTGGTGACTCAGTAGAGCACCACTCCAGATGTGGTGGTGACAGCCAGGCTGTGGCCCTGAAGGGGTGAAGGGAGCAGATGGCTGGAGAGACTGAGGCCTGGGCTGAGGAGAGAGAAGTGGCAGGTGCCCACAGAAAGCACAGCAGGGTCCCCCCCAGCAATGCAGCCCCTCCCCAGTCTGGAGGAAAGTGTGCTCTGCTTGTACACAGAGGCAGTTTTCGGCTTTCTCTGGCAGTCCTCAGATTGTCACTGACTGCCCCTCTTGACAACATTTCATAAGGCCTTCCTAGCGATACCAGCACATGTGTGAAAATAGTATGTTTGTGTGGGGAGCTAGTCCTCTTGAGGAAAAGACCTAGAATGAAGAAGAAAAGGGACCCAAAGTGGCCTGAGCTGTGGAATGACTGTGCTGGGAAGGGGCCATTCCTGGCCACTGGGACACAGGGAATGAAGGAAGCTTTAACCCCAGCCTGCCTTCTTGTCTGCTGCCCTCCCTTCCCTGGACAGAAGTAGGATGGGGTAGGGTGTATGATGACGGAAGCTTTATCCGTGGTTTAAAATGATCCAGGGGCACCTCAGCCCTGGTCCTGGGGGGGTGGGGGGCCAAGAGGAGGGGGCTGTCTGCTTGGCTCTGTTTTCTGTTGTTCTCAGCCTCCCTGGCTATATGTTTGCCGAATATTTTCTCCACTGGGTCAAAGTCCAAATGGACAGAGGCAACAGTGCCCCACGAAGATGTATCCTTAGACATGACAGAGGACATCATGAAAGTGTCCAGCCACCTTCTCACCCACATGGGAAAGGCAATCTCATCCCTCCCCGGGGCTGACTCTGAGTCTCTGCTTCCCACCTCTTCGGGGCCAGCCCCTCCCTTTTCCCATTGCACCAGGCCAGAGCAGCCTCACTTGGCCTCTCCAGCTGGAGCCCCAAGGGAGAAGAGCTCCCCCAACACCCGAACCCCAGTTCAGATGAGCCACACTCCACTCTTTCCTAGTAAACTTTTGGTTTTGAAGTTGGCACCTTCTGCTTTCTGGGCTGGAATGAGAACGTGTTTTCCCCTCCCACCCCAGCCTGGCCCCTTGAGCACACTAAAATGACAAAGAAGCTCCCCCTTGTCTACTGAGTCAGGGGAACTCAGAGAAGGCCTCTGCAGGGAAGCTGGCCTGTGTCTGGGCAACTGGATGGGTTTCCTGTCAACTTAGGCCTGTGCTGGCCGCCCAGCCTTACCTTCATCGTTCTGTTCCCTCTTGCCTCAGTCTTCCTTACACACTCAGCCCCTCCTCACCTATTGTTCTTTCCCGCCTCACCCCCCCCCCAACCTCTGTTAGTGAGGTTGTGCCCTGAGCTGTTTCCAGATTAGCCTCTGAAGAGGAGGCTCCATTTGTCCTGTGCCACTTCTTATCCTCCGGACTCCCCTGCCTGGCTTTCTATAAGGTCCGCTGCCCTCAGGTCAGCTGGGACCAGGCCAGACAAGAACCTGTAGCACTGTACCCTCGGCTGGGCTGACTGGCTTCAGAAGGGCTCATGAGTGTGATGAAGCAGTAGCCAGTGTGTCTATTAAACAGTCAGAAGTCTGACAGACACTGAGGCACTGTCCTGGGCCCTGGAGACGCTATGTCATGAAGACTGGACAGCGCCAGGCTGGTCCTCCGGCACCTTGTGGACTCCTCTGTAAGAAGCAGAAGGGTGTGCCGAGCAGAGAACTGCAGGGGGATCTGGCAGGGCCCCGGCACTCGGCAGGGTCGCACAGAGCAGACTGACCACAGCGAGGAGGCACGCACATCGCCCATGGGATGCTTCCACTGGAAGGGCGGGCTGAGGGCGTTGGTGCTGGTGCTGCTGGGCGAGGCTGCACCTCCGTCTGTGCTCCTGAGGTTGGACCTTTAAAGAGAGGGAAGCGGTGATCTGATTCTGCAATTCTTCTGCCCTTGCGCTGTCGTCCCTCCCCAAGCCTCTATCCCAGGCCTCTCTGCAGGCCACAGCCAGCCTCGGCTTTTGCTGGTGGCACAGTGAGGAGGGTACGTGAAAACCAGGAGCCCAGGGGATCTGCCTGCCGGCCCAGAAGCCCATAGCCAGCCCATCTGCTGTCTGGGTGGCCAGAAAGGCTGGCCAGCCACATAGCCTCAAAGGTCAGATTCCTTCCTGCCACCATACGCTGACAACTGAGTCTTTGACTCCTGAGTGGGGTTTCATAAACTAGAATAACAATAATTCCCCTGAACAGAGGTATTCAAAGATGGTCCCTCTGGGCAGGTTGGTTGTCTCCTCCGTGGGTTGGGTGGGTTATGAGTGAGTGCTTTGGAGTGAGTCGGCTTCTGAAAAATTCCCAAGCCCTGGGCTTGGTATCAGCCCAGTAAAGTCCTTTCTATTTTATTTTTTTCTATCCTTAAGGTCCAATCGTATGTGCTTTTTGTTCTCACACACCTTTCCAGCGCAGCTCCTCTCTTCCACCCTGTGCAGGCCTGACCCCAGCCCTTTCTGACCTCGTCCTCTGCAGCCACCCTAGTGGAGGCACCTCCCTGGCCTGCAGCATGGACCACAGTGGGGATGGAGGATGAAAGAGA